CTGAAATTTTGTTTGGAACGTAATTGGCCCAACCTGCAATAGAAACAAGCATGGAACTTAATGTAAACACATATGATATGGAAAACTATAATAATATTATTAATAGCTCTAATTGCAATTTACAACACTAAACTCTAACGACCTGCTTTTTAATAGCTGCCTTTTAAAAAAGAAAGAAAGAGAGAGAGAGAGAGAGAGAAGAAAAAGAAGAAGAAGAAGAAGAAGAAGAAGAAAGAAAATAAGCAAGAAAAGAAAAAAGAAGAAAAAAAGCATTGTTAACTTACTGCCTGTCCCTGGTAGACTTTCTCTATTGCCTCACTGGCAGCACTAGCTTTAAGAATAGCATCACTAGAAGCACTAGATTCAACATCATACCCTGATGCACGCCATCTTGGCAGACCCCCATCAAGTACCCAGACTCTGTCATGCCCAAAGACTTGGAACATCCTTTCCATTACATGTTAACATCAGGTCTATTAGTTTTGTATAACTCAAAACCAGAGATGATTGTTGATCACAGACAAAGTTTAGAAGATAATATCAAGCAGGAAACTAACCACCAGACACGTGCTGCACTAAAAATTCCCTTCCCATCATAAACAACCACCCCTTCTTTATTTTGGATGCCAAGAGCAGACACAGCAGCGGCAAAAGCTTCCTCAGAAGGCAACATATGAGGCAACTGACAAAAGCAATGGTTCTCAAATAGTGAATAAAGAAATACATTAAAAAGCTAATGGATAACTAATTAATCAGCAAACAAGCAATAAAAACGCATACTTAGAAAATTTTGAATATTAGCACAAGATGAAATAAATTAATCAAAGGATATGTTTTTCCCATGGAAGATATGGGTGTGTGCAAAGTTAAATTGTTTTCTAAACTCAATAAATAAAAGCAATGTATCAAATGATGATTACTTTGATAGTTGAAGTTTGGGTTCCTCAGCCTATCTAATGAATGTTCAAAATCCCAAGTAAAAGGTTTTAAAAAATCATTAGTGGAGAACATAGGCAAAGAAATTAAGCCACAAACCCTCCCTTATTAGACATTCTCACGAGTGAAACAAGGATTCACAAACAAAAGAAGAATTTTATAAAATTTCCCCCATGTAACTACTAGCAATTACAGGACCAAGACACAAAAAAAAAAAAAAAAGAAAGAAAAAGTAACTGACTTGGATTCATCTAACCTTTGTTGTTCGATCTGCAATTCCATCTACATCAAAGAAGAGAGAACCAGGAATGTGTGCGACCTGCCATGAGAAAATACGATGATAGTTTATAAGAAATACATCAAGGTTAAGGTTGATATATTTGGAGACAGAATAATGTAAAGAATTTAGTATTCTTTATGGTTAGTACATATTAGAAGGAGTGAGAGATAAACAGAATAGCACCTGATATTCTTGAATGGGATTCCTCTGCTCATCTGGCATGTACCAGGAGGCATCCAGTACCTGAATTGTGCAAATATAATTCAAAAGCAACTAGTGTGTGAGCTATTGCAATTTGTGCAAATTCATATTCATAATTTTATTATTATTAAACTAAAGAAGAAGGAGAACAAATTAAAGATGTAAAAGCAAAATTTGCCAAAGTCATTCATGAAATTGTAAGTCCATACTCCAGAATATAACAAGAGTGACTAAACTTACAAATTCAGATCATTATCTTGTCTGCAAAATGTTACCTTCATGTCAGGCTCCCTGAGGTTAGAATGAAGCCAATCAACAGAAACAACAGGGTCACTAGTAGACAGAGACTGTGTCGAGAAACTAGCTCTCATCCCAGCTATTGATAAAGCCATAACAGGCCAACTAGGTGTCTTATTTACCACATAGGCAGAAGGCTTGAGCAGAGAGTGAAATGGTTTCTTCTGCAACTGAAATGGAAATGGGTTAGACGTGGGACCCCAAACAAACACAAAAGATAGAATGAGATAAAAGGTTGTTTTCAAGTATCAAAGTCATTTCAAGAGAGAAGAGGTTGATGATAATTGCAATGCATAAATTCAGTTCAGAAAACAGACTGAAGAAAATCTATAACTAACTAGCAACATAAGTGCTGAAAGAAGAAGATAATCAGAAGAATGACAGCTAAGTAAATTGTAAAAATTGAAACAAACTCAGTCAAGCCATTGACTTGACACACAAGTTCCAAAATTCAAATTATCAAATTATCTAATGCATAAAATTAACTATAAATTCCAACAAAAGTAGCAAAGTTAGCATTTCAAAGGCGTTAGAGGCACAAAATTTACCACCACGTATCCCTCAATTGGTGGAAACTCCACTTGAAGCAAAACCCATTAACCAAAATCCATCACTATCACTATTCACTAATCAAAAGCAGCCAAAAAAAAAAAAACCCGCAAAATAAAATCCATGAAAATAATCACTAAAAGCAGAATTACTAAAATACAACACAAAATATAGCCAGAAACAGAAAAACCCAGAAATCAATCGATTATCAGAGACGGACCCTTATACTTACATTGAAGAGGGTAGTGAAAATCTGGGGTTTGGAGGAGAGAGGGGAGGAGATAGGAACCAAGCGATGACCCAAGAGGGTCCTTGTGAAAAGGGCTGCTGCCATTTATGCTTAGATCATAAAAAACCAAGTGTGGTTTATAGAGATGCTGCTGTCTTTGTTGTTGAGAGGAAGAAGCCAATCGAAATGGATAATTCCAGACTATGATATCAGCCGGAAATGCTACCGCAAAACCGGAAGCACTGGAGATAGCCGGTTTCTGTGTGTTGTGTGTGCTCTCTATATGTGGAGATTTCGAGGGTCTGTTTGGATAAAGACAAAAAGAAGCAGATTAAGGTCTCGTTTCCCGTAATGGGCCTTAAGCATGGCATCAACAATCAATTTCCGGTAAATAATCAGGGGGGAATGTCCAATGGCCTGGACCTGGGCCTAAGCATTCTAAAATTAGCTTAGGCCTGTTGTTACATG